CAGTGCTAATCTGTCCAGTGCCGCTTGACACGTCTGGGAGCTGTCACAGATTAGGGCAGTATCGTAAGCATACTCCAAGACAAGAAGTCGTTCTCCTGGGAACAGATACACACCTTCTAAGTCGTGTCCTGTGAACGCGATTTCCATGACTTCATCAATAGCGAAGTTGAAGAGAAAAGGTGACAGCTGGTAGCTTTGTCTCACACCGCTGGAGATATTAAAGGGCGACGACAGCTTGCGCTGTCTGAGCTACGCGCGTATAGTGCTCGGTTAACATTTACATATTTCTCGCGCACACCTTTCCTGAGTAGACAGTCTCAGTGTGGCGTTTACCCACGGAATCGAATGCACCTTTGATGTCAAGGAACACGACAACGGTGGGTCGTCAATATGTGTGACGGTGCTCCAACAACTGACGCAAAGTAAAGATGTGGTCAATGCAGCCACGACCTCGACGAAACCCGACTTGCTTTTCATGAATATGATTTTCACGAGTGTCAGTCAGTCTGTAAAAGATGACAGAGGCAAGCAATTTGGAGGCGATGGAGACCAGACTGATTCATCTATGGTTGCAGCATTCCGATCGTGAGCCTCCCTTGAAAATTGGGACTATAACGGAGCGGGTCCAGTCGGTTGGGACAGTTTTCTGCTCCCATAGTTTAACTAGCAGATCATGTAAATTATCCACAAGAGCAGGTCCCCAGAATTTGAAGAGGGCTGGAGGAAGGTCATCAGGTCCCGCGGCTTTATTTAGCTTCAACAGTCCGATCTCACGTTTGACTTCTGAGCGAGATTGTGGATCCAAAGGGACAGCCCAGGTAGCGGGGCGATCAGTGGCCGGCGAGAAATCTAACAATTCCGACCGATTAAATTGCCTTTCAGAGTGCTCAGCCCAACGCTCTAAGCGTTTTGATAAATTGTGGATAGGCTGTCTACTCTCGTCACTTATAGTTTCACTAACACCAGGTCTTCTGCTACCTGATTCCCGTATCAGACGGAATAACTTACGATGGTTACCAAGGGCAGCGGCCATTTCCATCTCTGATGTACGATGGGACCACCTGTATTCGCGGTCTCTCTTCAGGCTAGCACGGAGTTTTGTCCCGAGCTCTTTGTGAGTTTCATTGTGTTCGCTTTCAGCCGGAATATGCCGGCGAGCATCAATGGGTTTCAGAGATCGTGAAAGGACCCAATGTCCATGTTGGCGATTAGACATATCACATGCGGATTTTCCTGCTGCTAGTAAGGACTGGTGAAGATGAGACCAGTCAGCTTCAATTGCATCCAGTGGGCGTTTATCCAACTCGCATGACAGCACACTTTGATAGGCATTCAGAACATCTGGTTTCGCCAGTTGGCTGATACAATGCTCTCACAAGGTCGTCTTGGGCATCCGCCAAAACGCATCCGCAGGTCAGCACATGCAATTGCATGGTTGGTGTCTACACATGTGCTCCAAATCGAGCGACAGTTCTGGACGCAGCCTCTCCAGCGGTAACTGATAGGAATGTGATAGATTCGCATCCATATCTGGTTCGAGATTGTTGGGCGACAAGTCCCCTCCGGCGGGTGCTGTGTCGGAAATTAGTGCTCGCAAGAAATAAACGAGCATCTTCACACAAATGAAGTAACCGCTTACCGTAACAATTACGGGAGTCTACATCATATTGGCCGTCCAGATGCAATTCATCAGTGGATAATTTTCCAACTTGAGCGTTCAGATCCCCAGCCAGCACAACAGTGTCCGTGCTTTTTCTGTGGCGAAGGAGCTCGTTCAATTGGCGATAGAAGTCATCTTTTACCGAATCATCGCTAGTTTGTCGGTGCATAGTCAGCGATGACGAATAGACACCTGTTAGTCCCACGTGACTTCGAAGTTTTGAACGAGCCAGCCAATCGGACCGCACACATCTGGCTCCTGATTTGAATCCAGTCAACCAGAGCAGCTTCAGTCCGGGGATTCAGGGCAATACCAACACCGGCTTGGCCGGTGCTCGAAGCTGTATCGTCACCGGATAGGCGCAATGAGAAAGTGCTGCTAGTGTCACTTGTTGGGGGATCACAAAGTGAGCACAGAGCTCGAGTCTTGCAGGCGGGTCTCCGATAAGGATCAGGTATTGTTCGAGAGGGTCTCTAATGTTCGGGCAAGTGCTACCCGTTGGCCGATCTGAAGCAGTGTGCGAACATTGAGGCATGCCAATCTGAAGGAGGATCGAGGGCTCCAAATGGAAGTCGAGGAACTGATATTGGCCCTTTGGTTGTATATGGTCTTGTCAGCAGGACAGGAATGATGGTCCCCGCGTTCACATTTGAGTTGAAACTAGAATTTAAAAGCCTAACGAAGCAAGGTGGGGGAGGGCCAAGTATTGAGGGTTGAAAACAGGGGCGATAAAAGTGAAGCTGGACCGGGACGATAAGCGTGAAAAAGCGTAAGAGGGGGAATAAGAAGACGGGAGGGCTTGAGCAGTAGCATCCAAACCCCTATCCACCCTGCTCGATGCAGCAGATAGGGCACCGTTGATTATCCTCTGCGGTAGCCAGAGCATCATAAATTTGTTTAAAGAGAGATTCATTGTATCGCGTGGACAGGATACTGTCAAGTTTCCCAGGCCTAGGCAGTAGAACAATTAGGGTTCTCAACCAAATCCATTGGTTCAACAACCTGACCGCAAAGCAGCGGGTTTGGTTTTAAGCTACAAGAAGTTCGTTTTAAGGAATAAGGAGCCATCCTAACTCCAACCCCCAACATGGAGGACCAGGAGGCTGAGTTTGTCTGGCCTCTAACCATTGACAAATCTGGTATGAATGGCTTTGAAGGTGCAAAAAGCACCACCCAGTATAGCTCAATGGATCACTGAGGCACGCAAACCATTGCAATGGCTAGGACGGGACTGTACAGAGGAAATGTTCACTTTGCTGCTGCTGCTTGGGCAACGCTACACATACGGCGGAACGACAATAGCTGTGTTCCTCGACTTCAAGAGTGCGTTCTACACAGTTGTTCGATGCATGGTGTTTGAAATACTTGTGTGAAAAGGTGTTCCCACGAAATATGGGAACATTTTACGTGCTCTAGACTCGAACACGACAGACCGGGTCTCGGTCTACGGTGATTTATCGGATGTCTTTCCGACAACAAGTGGTGTTCGTCTTGGTTGTCTAATATCCCCATTTTTGTTCGATTTCGTCGTGGACTGCATCATGGAGTGTTTTCTTACGGAGCGTCATGATGCAGGCGTCGAGGTGCTGTCTAGTGAAACGCTAGTTGACCTTGTTTACGCGAACGATATCGTCCTGGGGCGGTGCAAGCCACGGTGAATAGCCGCCTCTAGAGCCGTCCCATTTAGCATGCGCTTCGCACCTTCAAGTTGCAAAATGGTGTTACGTGTCCACCAACTACTTGATTGCGAGGAATTTGAGATAGTTGGTCAATTCACTTACCTTGGCAATTGCATCAGCGACAATGGGCTTATAACTACTGAAGTCAGTTCCGCATTGCAAAAGCCAAAACTGTCTTTTTGAGTCTGCGACATCTTTGGCGTCGGAAAGGAGTTCCCCTCGGTCTGAAATGCCATCTTTACAAGGTCACATTAAATGTCGTCCTACTCTTAGGGATCGAGACTTTTCCCTTCCTATCTGATGACCTGCAACGCCTTCTAATCGTTGATCAACCTTGTCTGTGAAGCATTGCTTGGGTCGGATGGCACTAGCGTGTTCGCAAGGATGATGTGCGAAAGTGAATACTAGGCAAGGATAACTAGGCTAGTTCCTTATAACGACAGAGAGCACTGAATAACTTGCGTTGGTTTGGGTACCTATTACGTTTGCCTACTCCCCACTTACTGATGAGGGTCTTGTTTTGTTTACCAGATGTAGCTTGGCGTAAGGCTCGAGGTGGACATAAGTTGACTTCGCTGCGGAAAATAAAGTCACTGCTGACCAAACTTGTGACGTCGATCCATTTTACAGTTTTACCGTAGTTCCCCATTATCTCCCTCTTATTGTTCTTCGTTCTCTAAGTCACATAGTTATTTGGTAGCGAAGCATCAGTTCAAATGGCTGTACTGCTTCTGTTGCTGATGATCCTAATTTTTCTCTAGTTCAATCAACGGTTAGAGGCCAAAGAAATTCAACCCCGTAGTTTTACTGGTTTGCTGTCGGGGCCAATATGTTATGCATTCTGGTGAAAATACCTCTTGTGTAGAGAAATATTCACTTGCTCTATTTAAAAAGTGATTACACTCATGCAGGGTACAGTTTCGTATCTCCATAATGTGCATTGTCCTGCAGTCAGCCCATGAGCTTAGGTTTATGAAGCGCATCCCATTTCTCGCTCTGTCGTTGACTTTAGAGTATGTTGATGTCCGATTTGCCCCCGGGTTGTTAGCATGGGCGAGAAACGCGGTTGAGAGCAAGATAGCAGTTATCATGTCGGCACGTTTGATCTACAAATAGGACGGAATAATTTGCGTCACGTTTAACATGCGTCTCGTTTTGTGTACCCGCCTCACTTGTCTCTTAGGTTCTGGAGGGCAATGGTTGGCCCAACATCCGACGCATACTGGAGCCCACCTGACCTATCCTATTTCTGGTTCCTATCGCCACAGGGCATGGTCTGTTAACATCGCCAAGGCCTCACTTACATTCGTCTTCCTGAACAGTTTGTCACCTCAGTGCCGATGTATCTTCGCACGACAGCCAGCTGTCTACGACCATTTTGTTGCCATCGTTTAGGCGTTTTGACCCCGAGTATTTTGGTTATGTGGAAACGGGTCTTCAACACTAATGTTGTTCCTGGTATTGGTGAGGTTAGAGGGGGTTTTGTACCACAGCATTTGACTGTGTACCCAAATTGCTCTTCCTGTGTTTAAGAGCCTTTGCACAGTGATAGCTCACACCCAGCTGCTTATGATCTTGCAGCGACCAAGAGACCGGTGATGATAACGATCTCATTTTTCACCTCATCTCACTCTCATCTAGACTTTTTGCTGCCTTTTCAGACCTTTGATGACCTTATTCGGTTGCAGGGAAGCGTTTCTCTACAGTTAGAGTCCGTGAACCTTTGCGGTCTTCTTGTCGCTCAACGCCACACCAAGCGAAGCAAGTCATCTGGGGCTCCCCCAGACTTACGCCTGGATGCTTTGGAACGCAGCCTTGCGTCCCTGGGACACGCTTGCAGTGTACTAAAACGATGTGAGTTATACCCTTTAATCCATCTGAGGTGGTGTATCACAGGTAACTATGTATGCTTGATTTTTATACTCTGTCTGAGGTCGGATCTGCGAATTCCATGCTTTCAAGTACAACTATTTTAGTTCACAAGTTCGCGCTGCGTCGCATCCTGTTATGCATCCAACAACTTCTATGTTTCCTACCACATTCCTAACTTTGCTTACGCTATTCCTGATTTCTGTGTGAGCATTATTGACGTTGGCCATCAGGTCCAAACCGTTATTATACATTTAACATCACCTTGAGTATTTTTTCTGTCGACCCCACACGCTACTTCCACCTACCGCGGTAGTTGGTACAACGAATACGAACGATAATAAAATTTGTTGCATTGGATAACGACACTGATTTTTCGGCCAATCAACTAAGTGCATCACATCTATCGGAGCCAGTCAGAACACGGAAGACGTTCCAGTGCTCAAGCCAGTGAAATGAGACTAATTTAAACCTTACTATCACGGGAAGCTGTGGTTCATCTTTAGCTGAGCCCTATATGTCACTCAGAAAATCTAACTGAGGCGTTCCTACAGATGTCAAGGAATGGCCATAGCGCCGCTAAAAGCTTTCAGTTACGAACTATTTTATTAAACACCTCTAGTCTTGAAATCGGACTACACTATGATCCGATCCATCTTCCACTTTCATGCAGATTATTGCTCGTGCAGAGGACAGCGATTGCGCTTCAAGTGTCAGGACTTCCATAACAGTGTACATGAATCCACACAGCATTTTTAGGACTTCCAGTTTTTTGTTCCTGTGACAATATCACATCCCGATAGAACTCGCTTAAGGCTTTTTGGGTCACCACGCTATTAGAGTTTCCACTGATTATTTTGCCTCCGTATACACTTTTTATTTGGATGATGTCTTGGTCTTTTGCTGACCTCGTTTATCTCAATCATTTGTACGGTAGCCGAGACGATGACATTTTCTGTATTATAGTACTCACAAGTAGCAGGATTTTAGTTGTAATTCTGATAAGGCTTTCGTCCCAATAGTTCACAAGCTACATAGCAGAGCCTAGTCCGGAAAAGCGCCAGACGCGTTTCGCCCTATTGGGGCTCGTCAGTGGCGCGCATTCCCTCGGTCCTCTAATGAGGATCGAACCCATGACCGCTAGAGGCAGATGCCAACTAGCCAGCAGCTTCAGCCACTGAGCCATGGGGGGACGTTGGCTCGGCTACATAATTTGCAAACTAACTGGGATATAGCACCACCTATCTACCACTGTCACTGACAGTGGTTAGCCTGCGAGGTGATGACGTCCTCTCACTAGACGCTAAATCCATAGCATTTGAAACTAGGAGAGGCTATTTTGATTTTATAGTACTCACAAGTAGCAGGATTTTAGTTGTATTACTTGCTCTTATCACTGACCTCCACAGTCGAGTCACCCTTGTTCGATTTCTACAGAGTGAGCCAACCAGCTACGCTATCAGTGTTATTTTAGTTGCTCCTATACGATTGACATGTATCATACTCCGGCTGCTCATTGTTTCTCGTGAGAGACTGGCTTCCACTCCGGTAGAGGATACATTTTCATTCTACCCCAGATGCTTGCAAGTCATCACGCTGCCAAACAATCTATCTTGCTGCTCTTCTCTGACTCTAAGATTGACTTTGGTTAGATTGATCATCTGTTTGTAGCGATGTTAAGCTATATTCCAAAATCTTTTAACCATTAAGCTTTGACTGAAGAAGTGAGGCGTCTCCCTTGTTTTAGTCCCAAGGTTTCCGGTTCCGATCTGTATAGCTTCATTCGACGTCGCAATATCTTTTGCCAGCGCGCGAATGATAGTGATCCTTGGACAACGAAGCACCAGTACGGTGTGCTGGTGTGCTGCTGATGCCTTCTATTACAGTTGCCTCATTCAGCATGTCGCGGATTGTTTTAACCGTAATGAGTATCCAATGCCGAATAACGTCGCCCCAGTTCAAATGACACTTTGGCGACCCGGGATACCTAGGAGTGCATCTATGATCAGGAATAAACTAACTGCTGCATTCTCTCTGTCCGCTGCAACGGCTTTTCTCTTATTGGAAAAACCGCGTTTCACTTTTCGACCTCCCTACAACCAAGCCCACATTCCGCTGATACATTTTAGCTCTTTTCTACTTCCACAAAGAGTTTAACATGAGTTACCTTTCAGCTTTGCTAACCCCCTTAATTTTTGAGATTGAATCCTCCTTTTCCTGTTAGTCTCCTTCCAGATCTTGTTCGCGTAATGCAAATCTTTGAGGCCATTGTTTACAAATCACACATTTGTCTTTTCCCTTGGTGCTCTTCATGTATGGGTCTATTTCACCAAATTCAAACTTGCAATCATTCGTTCCGAATTCGAAAAGTACACCCATTGAGAATATCATTAATCGCTCACTTAATTTTCGCAACACTATCAAAAGCGAGCACATATTGAATAAAGTGCCTCGTTTTAAATGTAGTGACAACAGCTGAGCTATGTATATTATGGTGCATTACACAGTATGTCTATAGCAACTAACTGGAATCCTCCGAGGGATCATATTTCGTGTTATCACGAACTACATAATTATTGTTAATTTTCCGGTTTGTGAGTACTCAACGTGACTTCTATTGCAACTCGCAATCTCAGTTATGACTTTGTAGTTATTGTTGTTCATTTGATTTTGTTCTTCTTTCATTGTTGCCCACGACTTGTCCTTTCTCCTGAGCTTCTAATTTAATTAATGTATTCACGCAGTGTGAAATGCCCCAGATCCACTGGTGGTAAAACTGCTATACTCTGAAGACTTAATCGGCCCGAAGTGACCACCCTAACTGCATATAAAAATGGCGCAAAAATGAGTCAAAACGGTAATGGCCTTTGGGATTTTAAGCGGCTCCTGAACGCGGCCAGATTGGCCTTCAGTGTCCTTTCTGAGATTTGAATTAAAACGATGGTGGCATGCATGATTTATAGCCACATTGGCACATTACCAGATGTGCGGGTGAAACCTTTAGAGGGACTACGCTGCATGCAAGCAACTTCCTTGAGGACGCTTCCACAAATGGCCGTATTACTCTAATTAAACTTATCATTGTCTCCTTTCTATTGACAATCTGCTACAGACCTTGCTCTATTTTAATGCATTTATTATCTACTGTGGTTGTAATAGTGTAACATGGTTGTAAAATTCTGATCTTGCTCAAATGGACAACCGAGAATATACCTTATTGTTATTATTACTACTACTACTACTACTACTATGTTGTTATTGTTATCATCCAGCCCAACCATTTCGCAGCGGTTCAACTTCATGATGATCCCGTTTTAAAGCCTTTTTATTTTTCAAGCCGGACTTCCCAGTTTATCACAATTGACTTCGCAGATCATATCCTGCCACTCTCTGTCGTTAATTTTTTCGGAATCAAGTCTCCTCTTATAATCTGGCAGTTTTCATGGCCGGTCGGTCACCAAACTCCTCATGGAGGCATTCACTGGGCATCGGCAGGATCCGTTAGCTAGATGCCACAATGGACGTTTCAACCAAGCTGAATGGATGCCGGACTATTTGAAGCTCTATTGATTGTCGCCTACAATCATTTATCATCATAGTCTGAATAACCTCATTTCCATTGCTGTGTTTTGGCATGTCAAGTGGTGGCAAGTCAACCAATCCTGACAGATGATTACGATAGTAGTTCTGCAACAAACGACATATGTTTTTCTTTAGGGGTTAAGTTCGTAACATAAACCCCACTATCTCACAGCCACTTAAGTCACCAGTTGATATCTGTTGTCAACAACCCCCTTCTAATGTACAGGGTTTAACTTTCCGTCTTTACTATATTCAGCTGATTCGCTTCGTTCATGAATCGCGTTTAATAAGCAGCTATATGTGCACTCTGTCACCGTCTACGCGCAAAGTAATTTCGACTTCGTTTTTACCCTCTCTGCTCGTCTCTCAGGTTCTGTGCATATTCCCCGCCTGGGTCATGGAACTCGTTCCTTCGAGTGGTACAGCGTAGAACGATTGTTACAAAAGTATTTGGTGAATGGTAGCCGCGTTTCGGTGTACGTGTATCCTTTCTCTGAGACGTCGTTATACTCTCCGTAACACATTTTTTGCTTGTGCACCGTTGGCAAAGATGACGCTCTGACAGCAACAACTATAACCAGTGTGTTGTTAAGTGGACGTATGCTTTATGGCTGCTGTCTTACCATGTGGGACTGTATAGTTGACAAAATAGAAGGACTTTTCGCACATGTTTTAGATGGGTGCAGACGAATTATTTCCCTTATCTGGGTTATTTGCACTTTCATAAGCCATGGAGTGTCACTAAATTTATTTGTACGTTTTTGCGGTAGTTGCTTTTTGTAATTCCTATTATTAAGGACTATATTGTGTGGAGTTCTTGCCTCAAGACACCATGCAAAATGTTACCTGCATCGTTCAGTTTCAGTTTGTTAGATCATGGTTTAGCGTGTGGTCTTGTGCTTGCAGATACAGCCCCACTGAATCCTTAACTGTCTTCGACCAGTTACTATCATCGAGACCGGCGATCTAGCAGTACGTCTGTTGCCGTGTATCCACGTAAGTTAACTTTTGAAATGGAAGAAAACTTCTATGAAATTTTTCATTTTCTTGCCGTTATCCCTGAAATGTTTTGCTTTCCGTCATTTCGATCCGTATGAAAACATGTCTGCATATTGTTACTCCGTTTGATCGGTTCTTGGTTTGATTGCCCCAACGCGACTTCTGCATACGTTCATGAATCTGGAGGAGGACGCGTTCCCCATTAGCCCTAGGCTAAGTTGTTCCCCTACTGGAAGCGCTTCATTTCCGTGTTTATGGGTCATACGGTTACGTTTTCTGATGTTATTGGTAAGGCGTTTGTTGAGTAGTATGCAGTCCGCGCAGCAGCGCCACTCGTGGGATCGGCTTCCGGCGTTTTCGCCTTATTCACTGTGTACACAACTCGAATGTCAAGCGACCAGTTGCCTTCCTCGAATCTCTTCCTCCGCTCCTTGGTACATTGCAAGTTCTTCTTTTGCGCACACTGCATTGTCGCTTATCTCTTCCTCCTCTGCTCCTGGATTACCTCCGACTCTGAACAACGTCTTCAACGACAACAGCAATGGTTCTTTATGTAATCTCGTCATGCAGCCATCATTCATCTACCAGTGAGAACTACGAAGGTCCTGTAGAAGCTTCGTGCCCTACCTAGCATTTCGAATCAAAGTACCTACGCATTGCCTACAGCAGTCGGTGGCGATTAGACGTAAGCTTAGCGTGTTACGACGGTTTGGTTACCTTTTCAACCGATTGAGCTATTTTGCACAAAATTTTTAGTTTGAAAACCATTTTCCTTTTCCTATCTTGGTTGCTGGGCTCCAGTAACATATCAGTCCAAATACAACCATGGGTATTTCTCTTCAAACTTCAGTCTAATCCTGCATCGGCCCGCTGTGTACAGCATGACGGATAAACCAAAGGATATTATAATGCTGGTGTCTCCGTTCTTATCCACTCACGTTACTAATCTAATTTCTGTAATTCCAAACCTTATTGACATCAGCTGTAATACGACCGAAGTTTTGCTATTGGTGAATATATCGCTACAACACTCACTGGTCGCGCTACTCTCTGACTGCGTTTCGATTGTCGTTCACAACTAGAATCCAACAACTGCTCTTTCAACTGCAGTTTCCATTTTGCCTGTTCACCTTTACTCCACTCTGTTGCTCCTCGGAGTGGTCCCATCTGAGCGGAAGTACTAGTAAGTTGCTTTACCGACATTGACTCGTCTCGACGGGACAATCAAAGGTGAACACCTTTGATGTTGCGAGCGAGCAATACCTGACACTAACCTTCATGCTTGTATTTTTGTAGAAGCCAGATGCCTTTACATCAAGGTTATTTTTCACACTTGCAAAGCTCCACTGACCCAATACACTATCGCACACGTTCCTAGCACTGACCCCTTTTATTTTCCTTCAATCTCCTAGCCACCCATTCCGTGAGGCCTGTCACCGAAAAGCGTACTTCCCTCGGTTCCAAATCAGTTTCTCCTCCAGGTAACTCTTATGTTCACCTATCTCTGAGCGCATTTTATGTGTTAGGTATACTACCTGACATATCGCCCGGTTATTCTACAGAAAATATCGCATTCTATCCGGTTGTTTTCCTCATAATACACAATTAGATTTTTCCTTAATAAAACTATCCACATGTCGCTGTTCTCGAGTCACCCATGAGCCACTTCATATGTGTGTTATACTCTACAAGGAACTATTAGCTACAATTCTCATTTTCCCACTATCCCCACTGATTACTGTTGGTTCTTAGCGTTAGATAGGGCTTTGACCCCTCCTCTGTTGTCTAGACACTTGGCTAAGTCTACTATCCACCACAACCTACACTCCCCTTACCGTTCATTGTGCCCCTGGTTCCGTTTTTTCATCAACTACGCTGCATTTTACCTTGTATCTTTGGTTTATATACATCTATAAACGACTTGGTCACATGGTGTGTCACCTTCAATGCAACTCATGCCAGAGTTCAAACAAACTTAATCTCGACAAATTCCTTGTTAGAGTTTAGGGACTTTTCGGTTATCCTTCCTCTTACAATTTAGCTTCGAGCAGGCATAATTTGTAGCTCATAAAATAATCGTAATTGGTATCGTGCACAAGTGCATTGGTTTTCTTATCTAGGACAGTGTACCTACCAAACTACGTCACAACAACCCCTGGACAGAATGGTGTAAACCCCCCCCCCCCAAAAAAAAACTTATTGTTGCCAACGTGTATTTTCGTGTCAAACATCTTGAACTTCTTGAGAGTGCGTTTGACCAGCCTCATGCAGGACACCACTTGTCTTTGTACTCATGCCGCCTAGTTGCAGTCGTCTCTCATCGTTTTGCTCCCTTGACTGGCACTTCAAACCACTGGATATGGGATAACTTCGAACAAAGCCCAACTCACAGTGCGCAGTCTGAAAGCCTCACCCGTTCACCAACCTCCGCTACAGTTTTCTTCCCTCTTTATCCTTTACTTCGCATACCTCTTCCTATGCTGCCCTGATATCGACCACTCATGACGTCTCCTTCTCTACTGATGATATCAGTGAATCTTCTGTCAAGCCTAGGATCTTATTTCACATTACTTTCTTAACGTCCGAACCCAGATCGGTCATCAAGTGACAGCGGTTCTCAACCTGTAGTCTGTTGAAATGGTTGCATCCTCTATTATCGCAACCCATCAACATGTCGTCATGGTCTCAGCCACCCTTCCGTTGCGTGCGCAGACCCCATTGACAATGACTACGCGCCCCGCCTCTCTAGTGTTGCAACTCCAATGGCGTTGCAATTGATAGCCATGCATACGGAATTCGACTTCCCATCACCCTCCGAATGAATAGACTGCATCAGAAGCTGCGTTGTCTCATTGTTATCTCTATGTGCACCCACCAAGGACGAATTTTGTCCGCGGTTCTCATCTCTTATTCCTGTCATAAGCATCGTAACCCTAACAGGCATTATGGGCACTCTAGCGATCCGATTGTTGATGAGTGTCGCTTGGCTACTTATGGATCTGTGACTATCGGGTTGAGTATCCCGATCGCTTTCTTCACCGATCTATCTGTGGCAGCCTTCACATCAACAGTTCAATCTTTCGTCACATTTGTCTCCACCATGTCACCCAATGTTTATTCAATTTAGCGTTGTATCGGATCCGCAACGACTATATAGCCACGACATGTAGATGACACGCGTTTATATAGAATTGTCAGTCGACCCTAAGCCCCAGCTTACCTACTCTGACCATGCCTTCATGACCACTCACTTGCCACCTGTTTGTCATCGCTGCACACGCGTCCACAAACTAGCACTGATTCGGGGAAAGTGGATTTCTCTCATCAACTTAACGATCTCCTTCGTTGCAGCAAAAATACGGATACTGTAGTGCTTGCTGGTGATCTGGACGCCCAAGTTGGAAATTGCCCTCTGCTGTGCTTCATCTGGACTGCCAACATGGTGTTCTAGGCTCCCTTAATGATAATGGTGAGCGGTTGCTACACCTGTGTGAAGACGTTCGTCTATTTCTCTCGAGCACTAACTTTCTACACAGCAGCAGAAGAAGAATGATCTGGTGCCCACCAGCCATGAACACAAATCGATCACATCGCGATCAGTTATCGCTGGTGAGGTTGCGTCCAAAACTCGCTCGATTTGGGGCTAATTGCTAAAGCTTTAGCAAACTGAGGTAGACGAGGCTGCTTCGGCGGCTGAAACGCAATATATCAAACAGACTGAGCTTATGACTAGCCTCGCATTACATTGGTAAGGTCCCTTCATCATTCAATTTCAGCAGTCTGATCTCATGTTCGACTTATGCGCGTGTGGATGGATTCAAGAGGACAACCCATGGAGAAGGTCAATCACTGCCCGAAATAGGTGATAATTCCGGTTGATTAAACAGTTTTTCAATGTGTTCGGCCCAACGCTTATAGCGCTTAGACAAGCTGTGGATCGGCGGTCCACTCTCGTCGCGTAAGTTGAATGACTTTGGACCTAGTTTTTAAAACCCAACCCCATTATTTCACGGAAATTGCATGTCACAGGTTTCAGACAGTATTCCCCCAACCCACTTTAAATTCAGTGGACCTGCTCTTGTTGATGATTTGCACAATTTACTAGTGAAACTGAGAGTTGGAGACTGTCCCGACAGACTGGAGCCGCTCCGTCATAGTTCCAGTTTTCAAGGAATGCGGCACTCATAGAGGAATCACTCTGATCTCATTTGCCACTAAATTACTTGCGTCTGTCGTTCTCCACAGACTGATTGGCTTTCGTGAAAGTCAGATTCGTTAGGAGCAGGCCACGTTTCGTCGAAATCGAGGCTGCATCGACCACATCTTTGCTTTACGTTAATAGTTGGAACACCGTTATATTTATTGACCATCCACTGTATTCGTGTTTCTCGACGTTAAAGGTGCCTTCAATTCGGTGGATCGATGTGCCCTTTTGGACTTTCTGCTCATGGAAGGTGTGCCCGATAAATACGTAAACATTATCAGTGGTTTACGCGTATAGTTCGAACAGAGTGAGGGTTTTGGCAAACTGTCGCCGCCATTCAATATCTCCAGCGGTGTGAGACAAAGTTGCCCGATGCTATCTTTCCTTTTTAACCTTACCATTGACGAAGTCATGGAAACAGTATTCGATGGATACAATCTACAAGGTCTGGAACTACTTCCTGCTGAGCGACTTCTTGACTTGGAGTATGCGGACGATATTGCTTTAATCTGTGACAGCTTCCAAACGTGCTAAGCAGCACTGACTGTTAGTCGTTTTGGGCTTTGCTTTGCTCCCTCGAAATGCAAAGTCCTCCTCCAAGATTGGCAGGGGCCCACCCATGCGCTAACCCTTTGTGGTGATCAGCTAGAAGTCGTTCAGGAATTCGAGTACCTGCGTAGCTATATTAGCGCCCGAGGGACTGAAGATGAGGTCACGAACCCTATAGCAAAAGCTCGAGGTGCTTTTGCCAATCTCCGCCACCTGTGGCGCAGACGCGACATTACTCTCGCCCTGAAGGACAGAGTTTACAACGTAGCCGTCCGCTCAACCCATCTGTACGGTCGCGAAACCTGGCCTATCAGGTCGACAAACATAAAGAGGCTTGATGCCATCGATCATCGCTGCCTTCGCAGCTTAGGTCATGTCCGGTGGGAACACCACGTGATGAATGAATGTGTTCGGTGTCGCGTATTTGGTGCAGCAAGAGAGAGTGAACCGCTTAGGACCATTATATCAAGCACCAGGTTCCGATGGCTGCGCCAGGTATTGTCCATAACAACACACGGACTCCCGCGATGTTTGTTGTTTCCGCGCTGGGGGTGCGCTTGAAAGAGGAGGAGTGGAAGCCGAGCGATGACTTGGTCCAGAGGAATGCGAACCATCAGTTTGGCTTTGTTGTCGGTTGGGGCCATTCCGACTACCTGGCTGGGGTCCCAAGTATGATGAACACGTTTGGTTATACACACACTTACTGTTATGGCGAAGAGTCGGCTCAAATAGCATTTGTGCTCTGAGTTTCTTTGTCCAACGCCTGCCTTTTAGATTCACTCTACAACTTCGACCTCTTACAAAATACTTACTATGATATTTATCATAGTGGTGCTTGTCTTTTAATGTTTTTTGTATCCTGTGATTTTTAATATATTTTGTTTTTTATTGCGGCTCATTAGCTGAGGTTATTCACCCTCAGCTAACGTGTATCGATGAGGATGATGACCTGCAGCACTTCCCTCTTTTAATTGCGTTGGGTTCTGTTGCCCATATTTAACGAGTACTCTTTGTGTTCTTGGTTGTTTCTTAGTTACCATTCGCAGTCTCGACGTCATTGGGACACGTCAATAATCGTGCCCTGTGATAAAGGTGGCAACTAACACGCCCTCTGTCCCCTTCGAATTCACCTTGCACTTATTTTCTGTGTTCAAAGCTTTTTTATACATCGTTGGATTAATTGTCTGCTTGTTTCTATTTGTCGCTTTACGCACAGCAGTCAAACGGCCTGCCGGAATTCGTCATTTGGCCAATCTGTTCTCAGGCAAGCGGTTCTACCTACTTTCCAGCTCGACGAATGACAGTGCATCAATGGAATCGTGTCCTCGTGTTAAAGATGTGGTCAGCCGATTGAGGCGGTTAATTTTCGCATATCCTTTCCCTTGTGCACTTTCTTTATCCCGCGTTGTTTCACTTTGTACTGCCTCGAACGCATACCTTTGCGTTCAATTCACCTGATCTGCCTATCATTGTGCATCCACATTTCGTTGGGCAACGCTTGATTGCGAACTGATTCACAGTGCTTTTGCTTGGTTTAGGCCGTGAGGTTCTCAGACTTTTTCTCTTGTGAATCCTCGATTTTTCGTTGCCTGATGTTCCTCCGGTTTATCCTGTAATACACAGTATCTTACTACGGACAGGTCAATTTCTTAGTGTAATATTGTAGTGATAACAGCTTATGAACTCGCGGCATCAAAACAAGGTGTCCATCCACTTTCAACATTTTTGAGCGGGAGTAGCTTCAGTTCGCTCGGGTCAGAAACTTTGGCTAATCTATCCAACAAAATCCGTACAGTTCCTATCAGAATTAAGATTTTTAAAATCCGTACCGGTCCCATCATCGAACATTGTTCCATCATTTGTGAGGAAGTGATAGGTTAGCTCTAGGAAATCTTGCCTCTGTTGTGTAAGAATTATACTCTGCGCTATCGTGCTTGTTGGTAGCAGCTTCAATTTCAACCTCCTTTTTACCAGACATAGTTGGATACCACCATACGGTCTTAATCACCTGTCTGTGTATTGCCGTTTGCTCATACTAGAACCGGAGCGTAATTCAACTCGTAGGTTCTGCAACAAATGTTATGCACTGATTACACCGAACGTCTGGACAACTATGCGTCAAATGTTCTTCCTGTGGGGTTGTCCGTCAGTCTCAGTCAACTAGGGTGAGAAAACAACATTTCGGGGCACCCTTGAAGTTATTTTGACCTGAGCATTAGTTTAACCATGTTCTCATGAGAGAATCATTTTCTAACTGTCCACCGCTATTCCACATGGCTCGGTAACACAAGCTCTTGAATAGTGGCATGCAAGCCCTTAGTGGTCTTGGTTTCGGATCCTGATGGAGTCGTTGGATGCGCACTACTGACGAGACCCAATAGGTCGAACTGGTCGTCTAGTGCTTTTTCCAACATGAGGATGACTGTCCAACTTGGAAGCTTCTGCGATGAACTCTTTCTTAAATCTATGAATTGTTTAACTGGCTCCCCAAAGTATCCAGCAGGTGGACACGGAAAAATGCACACAAATTTAGCCTCCCGGTTGTTGACAACGTTGGTTCGGAGATATGCAAACACGATACTGAAGTCGCTCCTGGTTGTCCTTCCGTTCCTTGAAAGGATGTAGCACTGATCAAGGGCCAGCATTTCCATAACCTAGCCTGCTTTTTCGTTTCCACACACTCCAGAATTACAGCTACCTGGTGACTCATCATGAGTCTGCCGCGTTGCACCAACTGTACAACCATTAGCCACATGCGATTCCCGATTTGTCTCCATGCTCGTATTTCTTCATCTAACTAACATCGCAAAAACCACATGTAAGCGTCAAAGGTGCGTCAAAGTTGGGCAACGCTTAGGACACCGATCTGCGATCTCCGATAAAGATTCAACGATTGACAAAGAACCGGAAATGGTACAAGACCACTGGAAAATCGCAAGTCACAGTCTGTCTTGAAGCTACTCTGCATGCTTTGGAGAAGCTTTGTTACTGGTCCACTTTATGGTCACTATCCATAAATTAGACAGTGTTCATTCTTCGAATTGAAGGAGGTTGTCCTTTTCGAAGTACATGGTCGGTGGAGTCGAACTTCCCGTTTATCTAGCTAGGTTGATCTAGACCTCGTACACTCTTCGACTACATTCGGGTGACAACTGGAAGAAGGCTGCAAACCTACGTTTCCATATGTTGTAGTTAATACACCTTTTATCTTCGGAGTCTTGACGGTCGACTTCTTTGTGAGACTGTTCTCGGCTTTCGTTTGACGTAATCTGGAGTACTGCGTCAGGCTTGTCCGCCCTGCCTCGACCGGGACAGAATGGAGCTAGAGAGGGTTTTACGGGTGAGTACTAGGTTGCTTGAGGGGTTACGGGGACAGACGTAACCCGAAAGTCTACTTAATTTGAGACTGCATTCAGTGCACTACCGAAGGCTTAGAGGAGATCTACTCCTAACCTACGGTATCTTTATTGGGAAGCTTGGTTCAGGTTTGTCTTGGCTATTCAGTTCCACTAGATTGTCTGTCCTCCGCGGTCATTCCATGAAGCTGGACAAACCGCGCTTCGATCGGATATAGGCCGGAAATTCAGCTGTGAGACCGAGTCGTAGAGGTCCGGAAACTGTTATCAGTGAATCTAATGTTAACGTATTTGACCGTCAACTTGACCCTCTTGGGTGGCTACACGAAACCTTACCATTTTCTTGACTAACTCGCATCTTCATACTTCCATTATCTTTTCCCCACTTTCCTACGCGCATTGGTATGATCCTCTTATTTCAACTGAACTTTCTTATTCTGTACCTACGATTTCTCTTCCTATCTTTTGCTTACCTCACGTGACTGCCACAGCAGGGACTATTAGGGCAGGTAACATAGGCAGTAATCGTTTGACCAGGATGTTATACAGATGCTCCGTTTTAGATCCATCAAGAATTCCGAGCGCCTCATCAATTCCTGGCCGCACTCAAATACACTCATGGCATTCTCCTGCTGGTCCAGTCCTCCCTGAACTTGAACCGATCAGGTGACAGATAATCAGTGGTCCAATCACACAAGGTTAAAAACAAGTAGTGTTCCATCTGTCTGTATTTCAAATAGGTATAAGGAATGGTTTTTTAAATAAAATTATTGGTATGAAAACATTTAAATTGAGGACAAAAGCTTAGTGCATAACTTAACCGAGGACGCTTTGTTTTTATTTAAATGAACGACTTCTAATATTTTGTACCTAAGGGATAAATTTCTCTTTTCGGTCGTAATTTCTAAATGCTGGCTGTGGGGATGCAGTATATATGTTCTTCAAATGGTTTGCAGCCATTTACACACCCCATCTTTCGCATTGGCAACCGTTACTTAAGTGAACATGTCCGCTTTTATTGTTTTTCATCCATCGCAACGGAGCACTTATTTGCGTCTCTACACCAAGTTATGTTCTTTTATTTAAATGATTACTGAACAGTTTTAAAGGTAGAAATTCCGCAAAGTAACATAATATGATCGTATATTGCTGGAAATGGGACATAAAACCTTTCTGTTGCTTGCGTTATACGTTTCTCGGCTATTATTTGAATACGAATTTCGTGCTACGGAGTGGTGGAACGCTACCGTAAAGACAGTCTGTAGAGGAACACTCAGGCGTGTTGAGACGTAATGTCCACCGCACAAAACCCCGGCATGGCCTAGCCTGACTCGTAATTCAAAGGCGCCGGGAAGCGAATCAGATTTGGTGTGTCACCGATCGAAGAGGGAACATGAGTCGTATGATCGAAATGGCTGTTGGACACTAGACGAGAGGCTGCAGTGTGTGACAATGGACAATTACAGGGAGGCGATCAAATAGCCGCGAATCAAAAGGGGGTTGCGAGACTGCGGTAGGGTGGCTCCAACTGTAATTTAGGCAAGGGAAGAACAGGCGAATAGGGACAGGAACAGTTGGTCTATCTGTACAGGCGATGTGTCCAAACAGTGAGTGGGGCGTTCAAGAAAGGAGACTAGGGGATTGGGGCAATAAGTTTTGGCCAAGTGAAGAGTAATTGCGATTGCAATCCACACCGCACAGTGTGCCAGTGAATATGTTTGCGCATGAATATTCACTCACACAGGCGCTACCTACGTAGAAATGTCGTCGAATCCCCACAAAATATTCGGTGTCTTACATGTTGAACACTATGCTCGTGATGAGGCAGTAGGTCCGGTAAACTCGTGCCACACACGAATTCACTTAGAGCTAGGTTTATGTGAATTATTTGATTTTTCCTATTATCCTTACTTAAAATTTATCCTTTCCGTACAACCTCACTCTACTCGCATCCATTGCACTTATTCATTAGCCGCCCCAGGAATATGTGAATTTCGACTTATCATAACCTTCATTCATGCATTGAATGAAATCGGCTCTTATTGTGGTCATAAGGTGATCGCCTATTTCTACCTGCTGTTGCATCCTTGACTTTCTTCTGTGTCCTTGCCTTACTCATGACGGCGATCTCCACCAGACACTTAGCTCCGATGTGACCCATGTGGTGGTTATCAACTCCGAGACTGTACCACTCCTGGCTCTTCCCCAGCTACCACAAGTGAGTGCCCCAGTTCGTTCTCTTCACTTTTTTCTTACTTCGGACAATGCCGACATCTTCCTCGTTCTGTTCGTCGTTTTATCGGTTCAGGTCAGTTGACTATCCATAATTCATGCACTAAGTTGAAATAAATCTAGTACTTTCTTCGCTAAAACTCGCTGTTACGGGTGGGATTTTAAATCGTCAGATAGGATAATTATTTGTCATACATGAGGGACGTATGCAAAGACTGTCTTGACATCTTGCGCGATCCTGAGGACTCCTGCTAGGAAGCCGATGAGAATCGACCTAACAGTTTTCCGATGCGCTTCTCCCTTCTGTTTTCCCACCGCATTGCTTTTTTACCCTGAAATTTCACCCAACTCGGCGCAGTACTTAGACACAGTACACACTGAGACTTACAAGTATACGAACACATGGCTGAGTCATCGAAAGCTATTTGCTTTCAATGGGACCTGTAGCGAAGCACTGAACCGTCTGTTATCGATTGCCATGTGAGGCAGTTCCGTTTTATTCGGCTCTCCGTGCGCATCGATGGTCAAACACAGCCAATCTTCTGTTCCCAACCATAATTGGTCCTATCGCTTAGGTTAATGACGATGTTGGTTACACCCCAGTTTTCCGCTTCTTTCCGTTAGTCAATTTACTTATGTTATACTCTCTGCATAAGTGACTGAGTTTCAAAACATACGCAGCACTTGTCAATTCGTGCAGGGACTTTTGCTGTAATGCCACCACCAGAGGTGATACAGCTATCCAGTTAGGAAGTCATTTTGAATATATGGTCAGCAATAGCGTGTACTGATGCTTGTATTGTATCAGTGATTTGCACTTTGTAGGTGCAAAACATATACCAAACCGGGACGTACTGCCCTTCCATCTAACCGGTGACGCTCACATCATAACAACTTGATTCAACGAGACATTTCGTTCGCTTACTCAAACTGATAATTTTAGATACCCAACTGATATGATCGTAAGCCAGTCCTTTGTCTGCCAAAACACTCGTGTATTGTTGAACTGAGCATCACACCGGATAGAATAACTCCGATAAGAATGGTAAATGCCGAAAGCATGCCACCGTCAACTGTTGAAATATTTGGAATTTCATGTGAAGCGCAAGTTTCACAGCTGTAGTGTGTTTGTGTTTCAGGAAGGAGAACAATGTCCTAAATGCAGATTTCATGGGTTTGGTGGGAACATTTAAAATTTGTACATATCCACCTGTAACCAGTGGCGCAGCAAGCTTGGATCTAGCTGTGTGTTCGCTTTCGCTGCGCTGTTAGATATTTCGAACACAGTTCCATAACACCGCTTGGTTTTGAGTTTTCCAGACCCTGTTCTTTACTCGGGTTAGATTGGTCCTACGCTTACACCAACAGAGCTGAGTCAGTCTCGCATGCGTCTACCTGGATTTAGATCCCCAGCGGAGCTCTCCCAGCGGTTTAAACCATACCGGTTACTGCTCAATCACGAGGCCAAGAGATTTTTTCTTTGCCTCGCATCTCAACGCTGGGTTTTCCACCCAGACTTGTTGAAACCGCATTTAATCTCTCAACTGCCATATTCCAAAATTGGGCTAGCGGCTGTGTAACCATACCGGCACTGATCAGTAGCGTGCGCCTTCCTCCTTACCCCTGTCGGTGCGAACCCAGGACTCTTCTCTTGCGAAGCATGTTCTCTGAGCCTCCGGCAGTGAATACAGACGATCGGGCTGACTGTTTGCCAGCTGTCATATAACTGGGCTCATCTTCTAACACTTCGTACGATGCTGCCGTGCGTTGGATCGGGTTGGCGTTTAGAACTACGGCTTATCACTAGTCCGCCAATAGCAAAGGCGGTGCACCGTACCGATGCTTCACTGCCACGCGACTACCACTCGTGAACTAGGTCTACTACTTAGTCGTACATACATACGCGGACCGGTGAGCTCCACATTATAATGTAAGCGCCACTGCCTCGGTAAGCTCACTGAGCCTATCCGCAATTTGGCTTCCATAGACAGTACGACGTATATCTGACGAATGGGAACAGAACGCTCTACCGCAACACGCCTTCGACACCGTATTCAACAAAACTAGCTCACAGTCTGGGTGCAGAAATGTCAACTCTGTTAGCGATCCGTTGATAAACACAAAGTAGATTCATGCATGCGCTGAGCAGCTGTCGCCTCGACTACTACTTGACGATATGGTCGCTATTACCCATTATTTGTTGGTGGTCCAAATTGCTACTCTCTACAGAGGTACTCATTCGTACTGTCGTAAAAATCGGTCCTTCAGTGAGAAGCGGTCTATCCAGCAAAGTTAGACAAACGGAAATAGCCGCATATTTGTCCTACAGTACGCCTTGGTGTGTACCGTTTATTCGGTTCCCTTAGGCCTTGCACATTCCCTTTCTGACTCCGTTAAACAAGTAACAACGAACGTCAGCCTATCAGCGAAGTCGCGCAGATGGACGATCACGCATACTGTGTCCAATAAACAAATCCATTAGTTTCACCTCCTCCAGTTCGCCTAATTCCTTTCTTTGGTCTACCCGTTTATTCCCACGAGGCACTCCCGTCTGTTGACTACCTGATGGAGTCTGGCAACCCCCTTGTTATTTTCCAGCTGTTTCATTTCTCGACTGCTTCCTTCGTTCCTCTTTTTCATAAGCGATCTTGCTTTATTTCCTTTTTTTTGCCCCCTATATATTCGCGATATGCCCCATGCTGAGGCTGATGTTGCATTTATGGTGCTTCTTCACCGCAGTTGGGCTAAACCAACTTACACTTAAACTAGGTCTTTTTAAGCTGGAGAAATTTCATTCAACTTTATTTGGTTTGTTCTGCCTACCTGAATAATCTTCCGCTAACTTCCACTCTTTGCTTACGCTAATTGTGATAATCGTTAGTTTTCTCGTGTTTATTACTTTTTTGAATAATTTGTGAACATTTTGTACTTGTCGCTTTTTCCTTGATAACCAACTTACTTCATATGCTAATTTAGTGAAGAGTTATGTCTGCATAGCCGTATGCTTTAACAGATATACTTTCTGATAATGTTATTTCAAGTGATTGGCTGTTGCTTGATATCCTCCGTGTGGCTGTGCTGGATGTGCATGTTGACAAGGTGCCTACCTGTCTATTACCCACTACCTCGTCCATACTGGCTCCAGGAGACAGTTGGTCGTTGCTGGAGTGGACGGGATGCACGGTCCTTGTGGCCGTGCTAGGCTCGAAGAGTGGTTCCATGCACTCAGTGTGGAGCGGACTACGGTCAAGCCACCGCCTTGTATGCGCTTGATTCCCCAAATACAGTGTGCTTGTGTTTGCCTGTGAAGGAGTGTGAGCCGGCTCCGTTGATGAAACGTGGCTCCCATCCACATGCCTCCCGGTCTTATTCCTTCGGGTTTACACTGGATATGGGGTGTGTGGTTGGAGCTGTGGGTGGTGCAGCGCAAGCCACCCATGGTCCCTCCGTAGGCGCAGGCGTCCTGTGGCTGTCCACAGTGACAGGCAAATCCGAAACCGGATGCCTCCAACCATATGTTCGCGATTGTCTCGGTGCTATGAGCCGTAGCATTTGGACTGTACTCACTGTGATGCACGTCTCTTGGCCAGCTGAAATGAATTCACTGTGCAAATGTATTGCATCTCGCCTCCTGACATTTGTTTTCTTGTTTCCCTTCTTTCTCTTTCTGTTTTCGTAATCCGCTATCGTCATCCTTTATTGGAATGTCCAACTTGGTGCTGAACCTACTTAGTCACCACATGCTTACGATTGAATACGATGTACGGAAAAGTGCTTTCTTGTATCGACCGCCTATCTAATTGCATTTTTTTCCATTTTTAACTAGGCGTGTTGCATTATCACTCCCGACTGGGTCTTGCAAAGCCTACGCGAGAAAACGTGCTTACCGGAGACAAAGTTTCGCTTTTTGCCCCCGTAATTTCAAAGAGCATGACATTCACCCTATTGTTCCAAAATCTTGCGTTCCAACCAGATAGATTTTACTTTATTTTTGTCACTTATTTTACTATGGAGACCTTACTGTGGTTCAAGGAACCACAGATGACCACGTTTTCTAATAAATTTCCCCGATCGCGACACGAAGTTCTCGACTATGTTTTTGCTCCATCGACCGTGCTTGCAACTAGTTGTGCCCATGTACATCGTTTTCATTATCAATGGTCCATGTTGGACTAATCTTCACTTCCTGCATTCTACGAAGTATGTGCACTGATTGATAAGATAACTGGGAATCCAGTCGACGTATCTGCAACTCTCTGGGTTTGTGCTACGTACTTTTTGATTGGGCCTGGGAGTTCGTTCCGCTAAAGTTTCCCTCCGAGTCGATTGCCACCGGTCTATATTTGCCGACCGCGTTCTTTCACCACGCGGATGTGCCAGAGGCATTTTCATACTGTGGCCCGCCTCTCAGCCGTATGTTTGTATTTTATGGATGTACTAGCCTTGCTTCCTTATTCTAAACCAGACATCCATGTCGAGAATTGGCGCGATATATGAACGTAGCTGGCTTCATGTCTGGATACTCTTGATGGCACTTTCACCCTAGGACGACTCAGGAGTATCACACATTTCCCCCGAGTCTTTTAGGGCTTGGACCTTGGTATTCTATATTTTCCCACCCTAACCGGTTGCTTGGCATAACTGAACTTTTGCACTTTGTGGTGGCTTTTACGTTCCTGTAACATATTGAGCTGGCATGATCTGGGAGTTTTTTGTCGAAAGTTTACTGAGAGGTCTTAACAGTAGTTTCCAAGTCAGATGGACTACCATACATCTGGAAAGACGCTAGACTGCTGTTTCGTTCTATTGGGGCTGCTTTGGTTGGGTGACTCCGGCTTGTAAAGTACTGGACTATGGAAACTTTGCGAGAATTCCCTTTACTCCTGAGCAATCGAAAATCCGTCCTAACAGCCTCTGACTTCTGTGGGTACATAGTTGTTGTTGTGCGACACCGTGGCTCAAAGGGTCAACATCTGTCTTCTTCATGGGTACTTATTTGCATTGCAGCGTAGGCCGAGTCACACCATATCGCATTTAGCTCGCAAGTCACGATGGCCTACCATCGCACCCCATTGGTTTATGGTATAAACTGCCGGATAGTAATCGTGGGTTTGGCAAATGCGCCGCACTGAGGAGTTCAAGCTAGACAAACCCGCCACCTGGTGTTTTCGGATGCATGGTGTGCCATCTGGCCTGCGAACTACTGCGATGAATTTTCAGTAAAATTGGCTTTTGTTTCATGGTACTTTTAGATATATTGAGAGTCATTGCGGCCATTATTGAGCGTGGTGGTAAATCCAGCGACCTGGTTCCTCACCTGGAATAAATTATCGCCTATTTCTGCCATAATTATGAATCTTGTGGACCGCCGTCTGTCCATCGCCGCCTATCATTAAGCTTCTCAGTCACAGGTTTTGATTAAAGACGATCGTCTTTCCCTTGTCTTAAGATGGGTGTCCTTTCCTCATCTGGTCTAAACCCAACTATAATTAATTACTACATCGGCTCGAAACCCAATTCGACCTCTGGATTTTCATGGGATCCAAAAGTGCCGCCTTACCTGCGACGTGCAAAGGAGTGAATAAGCAAAACCAAGTTACCATTATTTCCTGTCCTAGTTGTTTACGAGCTCTTGCTCCCGATCTCTTTTTGGTCCATGACAAAGCGGAACTGGCTGATCGACCAAGTGACTAGAGTGGGCTTCGAGTGTATGGATCACAACTTTTATAGCTATACTTCATTTTAATCTGTCATTTTCATGGGTCGACTGGGTAGCTCAAAGGCAGTTCGGTCTGTTAATGCTCGACTGGTCTGGTGCGAAAACGGGAGGCGGAACAGAGAAAACAGCAACGACGAACTCAGAACGATTTCTGGCATATAAAAATGGACTTACGCTCAATTGAAAGAACTAAAATGTGATTGATGTGATGATTAATAACATTGGATTACCGCGGTATACCAATGCATTTCTAAAAGCAAAGCGGTATAGTCGGACGGATTTCGGTAACCCAATGTAGACCCCTCACTGGGGGGGTTAGCATTATCGCTGTTTTCGATCCTTACATAATGAAACTGTAGTCAGCGGCCGTGGACGATTTGGAACAACTAGGTACTCGTCGAATGGCCTATGCACTATGTGATAAAAGGCTGCGGGACGTATCTATGTAAGTGTGTTTGGAGCTTATGTTAATCCGTCGCGACAATGATGGCTATGCTGGAATCGTTCGGTCGTCTCGCCTCAAGGAAAAGACGAATATATGGGCGAGAAAGGCGTTTACTGTCGAAACGTGTGATCCCACTAGCTAAGGGCACCGTAAAAAGGTTCTAGCTAGGGGAAGGTATAGTCGCCATCCGTGACGCCGCAATTGCTCTTTGAAGAGGAAATTTGGAAGCGCGTGAAATGCGATTCTTCCGGTTGACTAAAATCTACGTAGTCATCATTCGAACAAGCAAGCTTCGTAAGTTGTCTATGTACAAACTGATATTATCTTTTGATATTTTACACAGAAAAACAGGGGAATCTCCATGTCACTACCTGACTATTGGTGTTACTTGTCTCACGGACTCGCATATTCGGAATTGATGCGCAGTCGGTGTAATCAAACCATGACGACCAAGAGAGCTATTTCTCGTTGTATGTGAAGTTCAGCGTATCATCCATACATCCACAAGGTCGAAAATTTTTCACAGTTGACCGAGTATTATCTACATCATTCTCCAACATGGATGTGTATGAATTTAGAGATTTCCCCGTACGGTTACCGGATGATGCGTGGAATATTTTAGATTTATAATTTCCCTTTGTACTCAGGAAAGTCATGCGAATTTTTGCATGTTGACCGACTCATCGGAGAGCTAAAGCTTTCTTTAGCTGTATATCCTCGGATGCCCTCTGGTCCAGCGCGAGTGTACATTTCACCAATAGACGTGTACTTCGCCCATTTTACCTCTCTTTTTATTCTTTTTCTAATAATTGATTAATTGTACGAGTGTACGATCCGACTATCGATTACGCTACAGACGCCTTTCTGCTTATAAGCCACCACGTGTGGTGAAGTGCGTAGGCTTAACCCGGCTTCCTTCCATGATCGCGTGCCTCGAAAATGCTAAAGTAATCGGAGAAGGAGGAGATATTAGCAAATGCCGACATCTTTTATGGGAAATGTACCTGATATAATAGGTTAACGCTGTAACGTGATGTCATGCCTCACTATTTACGGTTATGTACATTACTCTTGCACGGTCTGCGAAGTGGGGATTCCAGGCCGTGTGGGAACTGCAACTTCCACAAACGATGAAGTGCAACGGATTCTCGACTGCCCCTGCGTTTCTATATATAAACACTAGATGGAATTAAACAAAGAAACAACAAAGGCTGAGCACACGCAAATTGCAGTTTTATATGAAAACCTGATTTGCTACGTGATAAACAAATAATGGTTCGTTGTCGTCAGATTGCGAGCGTCGTATGAGTAAATATTCCTTAGCCTATTCATAAAGGCGATGAGCTACTCCTAACTTGCCAGTAGCTTGGTTAATATGTTGAATGTACCACCGATTTAAATAGGGCACTTCGAATCACCTTCGATAAGTCCACAAGCCCATTCCATTAAAATACCCAATCGCTCGAGCAGAAGCTATTTCTAGCGATGTTACCATTTCCCGAGTATAGTGCGACCGAAAGGATGTGAAGGCTCTGACTCTTACCTGCTATGGCAATTAGTGCCAGTGTAAAACGGCTACCCTAGGTCATATACTAAGGTCGGCTAACCAACTAATGGCCGTGGAAGAATTAAATTTTGCACAAGTACACGCTCTTTGCCAATTTTCGGCTTCAGTCACCACAACCGAATGTCAGCCAAAGCGGTTCGTTTAACAATGCTCCGCCTTGTTACAAAATACTCCGATCGCAAAGTTCCGGCTACTACCAGAATTGCAAACCCGTGTAATTCCGCAAAATTTAATCGTACCATGACCATAGCATAGTCACACATTGCGGCAAACTCCGACTTTCAAATTCAAAAGGATCGATAAGCTACGCTTTCATGATCTATTCTTATTAAAAAATCCTTGGAATGTTTTCCATTCCCCCTTCATGTGACCATTAAGTTGTTGTTTATAAGCACTCATCCCACTCCGAAGTCTGTACGCTGATGAACACGATAAAAATACGAAACCGCGTAGCCTATTTTCACATCACCATCTCGTTCACATCCTCCTCGTATTCCTTAGGCATAACCATGAAAAACAAATATTCGCACATTGGGCACCATTTACCTGCGTACCAATTTAGTCCAGAAGTCAGTGATAACGATGAATACGTATATTAACATGAACAGCATACAACGGTGATATGTCCGTAAACGAAGAGGATGCCGAACCTGCTCGCCGGCGTTCTGCTTGTAGTGCGGAAATCGTATGAGGCAATAGACTAACTTTTTGCAAAGTTTCCATATTGATGACGCGACATTCGTTGACTATACTGTCTTTCAGTTGTTCTAGTGTAATAGACGTTGTAAACTCTTATTTTCAAATAACCCCATAGGAAGAAATGTAAGAGGTTCAAATCTGGTGACCATGCAGTCCAATCCTTTGGACCTCCGCGACCGAACACCTCGTTAAGATAATTCCGCAGCGTTTGTGCATAATGGGCAGGTGCGCCTTGTTGAAGCTATAACGGCTGAGGCGAAGTACCAAAGTCGTCAACGAGAATCGGTGGTGAGAACATCTCTACCTTGTAGCTCCTACCTTACTTGCCAGCGACAGTTCCCTTGCCATGTGAGAACCGTGATTGACTGAGTAATGGCGGTATACATAATTGAGTTACTTAGCAAACACGAGGTTAACGTCATATCTGCAACGGAAGTACTTGATCCTGGCTTGCAAAAAGCGCCTAACGCAGCCTGCTGAACTTCAACG